ACAACAGCAGCAACAGCAGATTTATAAATGAGTCTCATTACGAATAAGTCGCACGTATCGCATTGTCACGAAACAAAAATAAAAAAAATCATAAAAATGTGACTAGTAACACTGTTTGAGCGCAGATTTTCCTCGTGCTTTGGACTTTGAACCCTGGTTAACAAGCAGATAGCGCTGTCAGAATACATGCAATGCGTGCGTGTATTAGAAAACATGACGTTCTGCAGTTTATTTACTAATTGTTTAAGGCCATTTCGTGATTTCAATTATCATACAGTAACCAGCAACAATCACCCCTTCCTCTTCTCATCGAAGACATGCGATGCAGTCCTAAACAGTCTCTCGCTGTCGGTGCTTGTAATGATTTTTGCGTCTTTCTCGGACAGTTTTAAATGCTTCCACACTGCTGACATATTTGTTGCATTGCGCTTCTCACTCTACCCTGGTTGCTATTTGATCGCGTCACGTCATTGTTCATAAAAATGTGACTGAGCAACTGAGTACACTGTTACAGCGCAGATTTCCCTCGTGGTTTGGACTTTGAACCCTGGCTAACGAACAGATAGCACCGCGAGTTCATGCAGCGCTGTCAGAATGCAATGCGTGCGTGTATTAGAAAACATGACGTTCTGCAGTTTATTTACTAATTGTTTAAGGCCATTTCGTGATTTCAATTATCATACAGTAACCAGCAACAATCACCCCTTCCTCTTCTCATCGAAGACATGCGATGCAGTCCTAAACAGTCTCTCGCTGTCGGTGCTTGTAATGATGTTTGCGTCTTTCTCGGACAGTTTTAAATGCTTCCACACTGCTGACATATTTGTTGCATTGCGCTTCTCACTCTACCCTGGTTGCTATTTGATCGCGTCACGTCATTGTTCGGTACAGTTTATTCTGTCTTTTTCGCTAATTCGGCCGAATAATTTCGGTTACCGAACATTCGGTGCATCCCTACAAGTACGTGTTGCATCAGCAGTAAACCGCCATACCTTCCACCGGTTTGGTCACAATTCCTGTTACTCCACCAACCACCCCCTGAAGGAGAGCAGAGACATAACAAAAGTCAATTCATGCTACATACAATGGAATGGTGTTACATACAATGCATAAAATAGAAAGGAAATGCTTTGATGTCATCTTGGATGTTTTTTTATTTGTGTAGGAACTTGTGTTCAGTACCTTGAGGAAACCCTTTCCTCCTTTAGCCAGACTCTCTCCAAAGTCTTTAGTGGGTCTGTTCATCTCCTCCCTCCGTTTCTGCTGATACTCTTTGTCCATAGTGATGGCAGCCAAGCCTTTTCCTACAGTGCCTGTTATTCGAGACACCATGCCAGCTGCGCCCCCTGGGAAGATAATGTCAAAACAAAATAAGCATGTGCATTAAGGATCCTCTGTGAGTATATGTGGGTTTGAGGGAGAAAAGCAGGAAAGCAGGGACTCTTACCCACTGTGTGGCCCAGTAAACTTCGAACACCGATAACAAAACCTTCTGCAAATTCCTCAGGTCCTTGAACAGCCCCCTACACACACAAACAAATGCTAGTAATCTACAAATTATAACTTTACAACCTTGTAAAACACGACAGATCAAAGAACAGTCTTTTTAAATTGAACTGTTGAACAATGAGACAAAAAAGCTCAAATATATATTATATAAATACATAAAAAGTTATATAAATAAATCATACAATTTTAGAGACATTTAAATAATAATACAGCAGGCTGCATATACAAAAAATTATTAATTTCTTTAATTTAAGGATTAAAGGAGTCATATGATGCGATTTCAATTTTTCCTTTCTCTTTGGAGTGTTACAAGCTCTTGGTGCATAAAGAAGATCTGTAAAGTTGCAAAGACTAAAGTCTCAAATCCAAAGAGATATTCTTTATAAAAGTTAAGAGTTAACCACGCCTACCTAAAACGGCTTTTTCTAACACGCATGTCTACGTCACTATGTGGGAAGATTTGCATAACGCCGCCCAAATGTTCACGCAAAGAAAGAAGGTTTAACTTTTATTCTCGCTGTAGTATTGTTGCTGCCGCCGCCATGTCGTGAAGGCACTGTGTGTTTCGTTGTGAAAGCGAAACTACTTTGTTTGGCCTTCCAAAAGAGGACGATATGGCTTTGTCATGCCTGGAGCTGATCCGTGCTGGTTGCTGAGGAAATACATCAACTTCGAGCTATGGCTCGCCAGATCGGCTTTCACTGTGGACGAAGCGGAGTCCAGCCCAGGGTCGTCACATGTGGTTGCCGCAAGCCCGCCGGACGCTCCTTCGTCGAATCCGCCGGCCCGGTGGTTATTATGTCCCCACTGGATGCAACAAATGCCTCGTTTATAATGGGTGTTCATGTTTTTGTCTCGTCGCTCCGGCTTGACAGGGCATCATCACAATATGGTAAGTTCGGCCAATCACAACGCAGTGGATAGCTGGCCAATCACAGCACACCTCGCTTTTTCTGACCGATGAGCTTTGTAAAAATCGATGCGTTTCAGAAAGGCGGAGCATAGAGGAGAAACAATAATGTACAGTATGTGGAAAATAATGTGTTTTTTGAACCTTAAACCGCATAAACACATTTCATTACACCAAATACACAAAATAATGTTATTTTTAGCAACATCATATGACCCCTTTAAATGATTTGATGATCATTTTAGTGGTCATAATATATCATTACATGCATTACAGTGATGATTTATATTAAATATACCTCAAATACACTCATTTCTGTGGATGGGCTGATCTAGGTTACTCAAACCTGTACTTATATCTGGCATTTAAAAGATAACACACTCACATCTGTAGTGAATTAAATGATGAGGCCTGAAAGGATAGATAAATGAACAGCATGTGTCAGACCTGGATGGGCTCGTAGAAGAAAGCCTCCACTCCTTCTGATAAGCCTCGGATCAGCCCGAATGGATTTCCAAGAACATCCAGACCCAAAACCAGCACGTACATCTGTGTTAGGAACTGAGGAGAGAAACAGACTCTGAACTTCCTTCAGGTACAATGATTTAAAGTGAAAATGTAAGCATATTGGAGAGTGTTTGCTCATGTAATGAACTCTGACATTGCATGAGTGTGTATTTAGATCACCCACTTGTTCAGTGTAGTGTCTGATCACCGCCCACGTCAGTTTTTCTCGCCGGTAGAACTGATATTTCACCTCAAAGTAAGCCAGTCTGAAACAAAACGACGTCAATCGATGTCCATGTGAACCTTATTTTCAAAGAACCATGTAAGTCAGTATTAGAGTACATGCACATCTCAAAGTCTTACTTGAAAATCAGATCATCTACATCAGTGAGTGTGGCACCAATGCTTTTGAGCAGGAGGTTGACGGACTGGATGGCGACCATATCACCCTGCTCAGATTCATCTCCACTGGAGCCCAGAGACAGACTCAGGTGCAGCTACACAAACACAACACGCACATAGTTTCTTAGATCAATCATAAACAATTACACTACATGTCCTTTTACAGTTTGATGCAGCTATCTGTCAAAGGTATCCTTTTGCAATTAATCTATCATTTGACATTACTATGCTATTCATAGCCTGGTAGACAAGCAAGTGTTTATTCAGTTTAGTCTTTCATATGTCAGTAAAGCCAAGCATGTCAATAACCCAAATTCACAGCATTATACTGTAATTGAAAAATATATTTGGCCCTCCAAGCATATTACTTTTAATTGTTTTCTTTTTTACATTAAAAAAAACATGTAAAAAGTATGTGTTCTTTTGAACTTTCTGTCAAATTAAAGAAACCTGGGGGAAAAAATAACAGAGTTTACACAAAAATATCAGTAATAACAATGGTTTTCAACATGGACAATAATAAGAAATGAAATAAGAAATTTCCGAAGGATCATGTGATACTGAAGACTAGAGAAATGGCTGATGAAAAAGGAATAAATTACATTTTAAAATATATTAGAATAGAAAACAATCATTTTAAATTGTAATAATATTTCACAATATTACTTTTTTTCTGTATATTTTATAAATAAACGCAACCTTGGTCAGATTTCTTTCAAAAACAAAATACAACTTTTTATCAACCCCCAACTACTGAATGGTAATGGGTCCAAACATGCTGTATCATGTGGAAGACTGAAACTAGGCCTCAGGTCTTATTTTAGATTTCAAATTTCTGTGACAAGTGACCTTGAAGAGAACATGTGCTGTGTTTTGGAGTGGACAGTGGTGTTGGTTCATTACTTTAATAGGGGAGATGTGGAAATGCTCAAAGAAGCTCAGGCCCGAGGCATCTGTCATGGAGGTCTCCATCAGCTGAGCCTGCAGCGCCTCCAGATCCCTCTCTATCAGCTTATTCTGAAGCACAGAGAAACACATACTGACATCTCCAGTCTCGTTTTCATTCACATTGCATAGAGCCACAAAAAAATAAAAGATTGTAATGATGGAGGAAGTGTTTACCACTGCGCTCATTATGGATTAAGTTTATCAGTAAAAATATGTGACAACACCTGTCAGAAAAAAGCAGTAGTTACCTTCTCTTTAGTATCCTGGGAGTCGGTAGCTGGGTTAAACAGGGCGAGAATTGCTCCCAAGAAGCCCTGATCAATCTTCACTGCCATCTCCTGCACTAATGCCATAAAGTACCTTCAGAAAAACAAACAATACCAGTGAAAGGTTGGATCTACTTTTTCTTTATTACACTATTTTCTAACATTACCATTAAAAGGCTGTGGGATCAATACGATTTTTTAAATGTTTTTGAAAGACATATTTTATTCTCACTAAGGCTACATGTATTTAAAACAGTAATACTGTGAAATATTACTGCAATTTAAAATCATGAAAATTTTCAGGATTCTTTGATGAACAGGAAGTTCAAAAGAACAGCATGTATTTGAAATATATTTTTGTAATTTTGATGAATTTAAAGCAATCTTGTTGAATAAAAGTATTAATTTCTTTAAAAAAACTAAAGAAATCTAACTGACCCCAAACTTTTAAACAGTAGTGTATATTTGTGTGTATTAGTTTTTAAGATTAAGAGAAACATTGGATTAATACCATACAATAGTTTAGATTTCACACAAGATCATTTTACTTCATTAAAGAATGTGATACAGTTAATTGATTAGCTGAGTGTAACTCAGAATTTAATTTAGTGAGACATTATGAGACAATTTTATTAGATGTGACAGCGAGTAGATAATGTAATCTGGGCACCATCACTTACTTAAACTGCATGACTTGGCTGTGCTCATTAAACCTTGTGATGATGCTAACGTCGAAAAACGGCTTCGGTTCTAAAGATAAAAGGTCAGATATATCGTGTTCATGTCCACTCACTCTAAATGTGCATTTATATGGAGCATTCATAAGCTAACTGGTGCTTGTACCTGAGTCTTGAACAATAGATTTTGGAAGAGGAACAGGATGAAACACAGTAGAAAATATAGCTCCCGGCAGCTGATTATCCACCTGGAACAAATAAATGGTGCACATAATAACTGAACAAATGCCAAAAATGACGGAAGTGTGATATTCAACAAGTACATTGTGTGTGGGTGTTACCTGTAGCCAATAGAGCTGTGCACGTAAACTCCTCTGGTGAGGCGACTGTTTCAACTCAATACGAATGCCAGGCAGGAAGTTTCTCCTGATAGTGCAGGAAAATGGCTGTCTCATCAACATGGGCAATCTTCCAAAGTTCACCTGTTTCATTAAAGACAAAAAAAAGAATGTGATAATGTCTAAGCAGCGTAATTATCTTACTAATCAAACTTTATTTCGATAAAATCCTTTATTACCTCTAGGCCAGTTTCTAGTCTAGTCCAGCCTGGTTCACTCTTGCTGTTGATGTAGTCCTGGTAGGCTTTCTCCAACAGTCCAATGTTTTTGTGGTTAAAGGACTTCCAGCGGTTCTTTGGTCTCATCTCCCAAACCACACCAGAACTTAAAAACACAATTCAATCATTCTTAATCAACAACAAACAACTTGCACAAGAGTGGCATTTATGTTCCCCTTTAAAAATCAATAATAACTATAAATGAGTCGTCAGTTTACAGCAAGACTTATGGTTGCTGGGTGTGGGTTTATTACCTGGTGATGCCAACGTATGCTATCTCCTGCCTGATGTCATTGTTGATGAATGACAGGCCCAGGTTCTTTAATGAGATGTTGACTTCTTGCTGGAATTGCTCCAGCTCCTCTGCCTGCCGGGCTTTTGTGACTATGCCAACATCCTCAGTAAAGATCAGCACCCGCTGTCGGCCGTCCAGGAAAGACACCCAGTGTATCTGAACTAAGCTGCTGTAAGCAAACTGCCCACTCTCATCCTAAAGAAATCAACATGGGAATGACATGACAGTAATATTAACGGATTATTAGATTCACTAACCCAGCATCCCTCTCTAACCTTTACAAGGTCCAGTTCTCCGCCGTGGTCTTGACAGCTCCAGCAAAGCTTCCGCACCCCTGCTGGATCATCCCATGCAAAACGCTGAGCTTCACCTGGTCTCAGTGCCCAAGACTCCTCACAGCCTCTGTACAAGCACAGAGACACAGACACTGATTACAGACAGGAAACATATTCACACAATCCAAAAGAAAACACTCAATCAGAAGATGGTCTCCTTAAATGATCTTCTTAATTCTGAAGTGTGCAGATGTCAAAAGTACCATTACTCTGGCACCAGTTGATAAAAAGGAGCATTTGTGCCTTATAATCATGCAGGTGTACATGTGAATGGTCGAAGGCAATTCTTGATCGAATAGCTGAATGTATGAAAACAGCCAGGTTAGAAAAGTGTCAAAATACTGTATTGAATCTGTGCATTACACGGTTTAAATATTCTATTTGAATATATTTTACAAAGATAATTAATTCCTGTGATGCCAAACCTGAATTTTTAGTCCACTTTACTCCGATATACAGTGTCACATGATCCTTCAGAAATAATTTTAATGCATTTAGGAAACTTTTCTTATTATCATCATCAATGTTGAAGAAGAGTTGTGGTGCTTAATATTCGTGTGGAAATAGTGATATATATATGTTTCAGGATTATTTAATGAATAGAAAGTTCAAAATAACAATTTATTTAAATATTCTGTAACATTTTTAATGCTTTGGAACAATTTTGATCATTTTAAAGCGTGCTTGCATACATAATAATTTCTTAATAATAATTTCTTACTAAAAATCCCACTGACCCCAAACTTTTGAAATGTAATGTATTTTGTTTTTATTTTGTTTGAAATTTGTTTCTTTTGTCTTTGTCTTATTTCTACTGACTTAATAAATCAATTAAAAACAAGGCAATGTACTCTTCAAGTATTTCTCTGCACATACTTTTAACTTTTAGATAAAACTATGTTTTTAATAGCAATTAGTTTTTGCTATGGTATCAAAACTGGTAAAGATATTTGTGAAATCGAGGAATTGCTACTATTGAATACTGAAACCTGGGTATCGTGCCAACCCTAGTTTGTTTTTCATGGACTTTCTACTCAGTCATACATATTCAGACTTTTCATTCATCTGTTATACGAAGTGAAATATTGAAGTGGTGCTAACCTCTGTCTGAAGTTGACAGTGGCTGCAGGTGTGTGATTGACAACCAAAGCAGGTGCAGCTCCATCATAGTAATCGGTGAAGCTGATGACAGTGGAGTGGTCTGAGATGTTCACATCCACCATCACGCCACCATACTGATGGGAACCAAGATTAGAATTAAGTGATCAATATGGTTTAATAAAGTATATTTAGTATCATGTTTACAGGCAGATCATGTTCACCTGTTCCATGCGCAGCAGAGTTCCGTTGTCCTGCTTGTTGAAGAAGAACGATTTGGAGCTAGATTCAGATCCCACAACTCGTACACACAGCTTCCCTGTGCTGGCCTCAGGCCAAAAAGGCAAGCACTGTAACACACACAATCATACACTCAACACAAATACTGTGGGAATACTTCTGCCTTAGATAAAAGATGAATTCCGTGCCGACCTCAGTGGAGGAGATGTAGTGCCACTTGCATCCGAAACCATTGTTGTTTTGCACCTCTCCAACCTCCAGCTCAAACAAGGACTTATTGACTAGCGTGTAGAAAGGACTCATGGTAACAATCCGTGTCAGATTAAAGCTGCTCATCTGGATGCTGACCCCAACCTGGACATCAAAGAGATTTCCAACAAGTTTTTCATTTACAGTTGGATTACATTTGCTGGCATCTACTGTTTACTTAAAGTTACTCTTATTTCATTAAATGTTTAAAGCATTTACTAAGTAGTCCCCGTTTTTGTCTGGACAACGGACACATCCATAGCTGCCAACGGTGTCCAGCGAGAAGCCATCGGACCATGAGCTGGTGGACACACAGAGCTGCAACTGAAAGGAAGAGCAGAATGCAAATTTATGAATTACTATCAAAAACTACGGGTAAAACATGGCTTTATGACCATTACAGACCAAACACATTAAGGTTCATGTCAGCATTCATGATTTGATTATTTTAGATATTAGTCTAATATGGCTGTACAGGTATATCCATCAAACACTGCCAAAGAGCCCAATCCAACCTTATTCTTGCTGAAGAAATTCTTCTTTTTGAAGGAGAACAGAATGACATCCCTGAAGTCGGATGGGTGTTTCACACACGTATCCTCTGCACGATACTGCAGCACGCGGGACGTCTTATTGATGATCCAGTACGAACTGTAAACAGAGAGGACCATTTTGCCGCACACTCGAGACACATGCACACACAGGTCCACAGTCAGTCCTTCTGGTGTGTCGCAGGTGAAGCAGATGGACAAGAACTCAGGCATTTCTCTGCTAATTCTCATACGTCCAGTCCAGTTGCGACCTTGGTACTTGATCAAAACAAGCTCAATTATTTCACCGCCAACATTTGAGTTCAGCACATCTGCCGCACTGCCCTCCTGAAGCTCACAGAAGTCAGCAGAACCCTGTGAGAGACATGATTTGGTTTTAATAAATGACTGCTGGCTAATACTAAACTGATATTAATTAATACTGATTTTATAATCAATATGAATGTCATGCACAAATGTTTGGGGTCAGTAAGAAATTTTTTTCCCCGAAAGAAATTTATACTTTTATTCAGCAAGGGTGCATTAAATTGTTTGAAAGGGACAGTAAAGACATTTATGTTACAAAAGACTTCAATCTAAAAAAATGCTGTTCTTTTGAAATTTCTATTCATAAAAGAATTCTGAAAATATTTATTAAAACTATTTTTGTTGAGCACCAACAGCAGCATATTAGAATGATTTCTGAAGGATCACGTGACACTGAAGACTACAGTTATGGCTGCTGAAAATTCAGCTTTGCCATCACAGAAAAAAAAATGGCATTTTAAAATATATTAAAATAAAAAAAAGTTATTTTTTATTTATTTTGAAAAAAAAAAAAAAAAATCATGCAAAACCCCAACATTTGAGACAAAGTGTATGCCGAATGTGTTCTAGCATTTGTGTACTGAAACTGCAATATTCTGCACCTCCAGCAAGTAGCGTATTGAGTAAGGCAGCAGGTTTTTGAGAGTGACAGCTGGGTGCAGGTGGATGACATAAGCAGGGTCCCAGTCCCCTTCCCCGTGGCTGGCAATATGGCTGAGGTCATCAGGCACGGCCAGTGTGTTCACCACCAGTGGCAGGAAGCTGCTGTCTATGGCGGGGCACTGCAGCACTGCGTGAACCTCTGAGCTCACGTGAACCTGCTCCTTCCATGTGACGCATGTGGTGGACGCACGATACAAATCTTCTAAAGGACCGACAGGCAGCAAGAACAACTGACTCCTAAAGTAATACACAGAGCACAGAAAGTTACAACATAAAGCACAAAAAATTACAGGTAATTTATTTTACAGTATAGTGCAGGGGTGTCAAAGACACTGCCTGCAAATAAGAAAGACAAGAAAAACATATAATATATTCATAATATTACGTTTTCAGCTACAGCAGGACTCACAGAACTTTACAGTTGCCCCTCATGATATTTGACTCATGTGGGTGCAAAATTCACTGGAACAGAATATGTAATTACACTTCTTCTCCATCTATACCTGTAAGCTTCTAGGGGAACATGACACTCCTTCTCAGGCTCAGCAACCCCTACATTCACCATCCCTCCAAGTTCAGAAGAATACTTCAGAATGGCAAAAGGCACATAGAAATGGTTCTTTATCTAATAACACATAAAAAAAGAAATCAACGTTACCATGATTTTAACAAGGTCATTTTCACTAATGATTTCTTTATCCAGACAGGTGAACAGATGTATGCACTCTGCAGGTAAAGTGAGCAGACGAACCTGTAGGGGGGACCGTACTGTGATGACCTTGTTGCCCTCACTGGCATCGATCTGAAGCAGTACAGACACAGCATCCTGTTGCATGGGTCCTCTGATATTATACAGTCTACGGCCAGGCTTACCCAAAGGGATATTTGAAATCTCACTGTAACCTGAGGGAACTGAGGGACATTTATGATCAGGATTAGCGTACTGCATTTACCTGTAATTCATGACCTAAAAATTATAGACTATATATTAAAAGAAATATTCAGGTAATTTAACAAATAGAATAACCAGATATGACTTCCTTTATTTTTGTATGGGCATTTAGGCTGTTCAAAACTTACATAGTGACCTATCAAGAGAGCATTTTTGGAGAACACAGACATGCTTGAACTTTCTAAGAGCATATTATGCCCAAAAATGCTGTCTAGGTAGGCAGCTCACTAGTTTTTGAGGTACAGTTTACGAGGTGTATATTGTCCTTGTTACTGACCTATGCTGAGATTGAATAAGCAGCTTTCCTGCCTTTGCAGGGCAGACAGTCGTGATGAACGCTCAAAGGATGTATGTTCTAAATCCACACTTTTATCCACGGCCAATTCGTGCAGTTTACCCGGTGCGGATGAGCCAGTCAAACGCAGGTTTGCACTGTGCTGAACAATGAGTGGAATGCCTAATGCATTGCGGATGGTGTACGGGGATTTCTCCTTCAGAGCATGGTCAAACGTGGAGGCTGTGCTCTCTGAGAAAGCCTGACAAGAGAGAAATGTTATCTTTATTACGTATAACATGCATTACCTTTCAAAGGTTTGGGGTTGGTTAGATTTTTTTTAAACATTTTGGAAAGAAGTCTCTTATGCTCACTAAAGCTGCATTTATTTGATCAAAAATATAGTAAACATTGTGAAACATTATTAAAAAGTAAAAGAAATGTTTTCTATTTTAATATGTTTTAAAATGTAATTTATTCCTGTGATGGCAAAGCTGGTCATACTTTAGTTTAGGGACCAATTCTCACTATTATCTAATTATTAACTACAACTTTTGCCTCAATAAACTCCTAATTTGCTGCTTATTAATAGTTAGTAAGGTAAAGGTAGTTGTTAAGTTTAGGGATGGGGTAGGATTAAGAGATCTAAAATATGGTCATGCTGAATAAAGCATTAATATGTGCTTTATAAGTACTAATAAACAGGCAATATGCTAATAATGTGCACGCCCATAAGCAACTAGTTAATAGAATTGGACCTTAAAATAAAGTGTTACCGCAAAGCTGAATTTTCAGCATCATTACTACAGTCTTCAGTGTCACATGATCCTTCAGAAATCATTCTAATATGCTGATTTGGTACTCAAGAAACATTTTTTATTATTAATGTTGGTCAATGTCACAGTGATTTGGACAGGGTCATTTTCACTAATGATTTCTTTATCCAGACAGGTGAACAGATGTATGCACTCTGCAGGTAAAGTGAGCAGACGAACCTGTAGGGGGGACCGTACTGTGATGACCTTGTTGCCCTCACTGGCATCGATCTGAAGCAGTACAGACACAGCATCCTGTTGCATGGGTCCTCTGATATTATACAGTCTACGGCCAGGCTTACCCAAAGGGATATTTGAAATCTCACTGTAACCTGAGGGAACTGAGGGACATTTATGATCAGGATTAGCGTACTGCATTTACCTGTAATTCATGACCTAAAAATTATAGACTATATATTAAAAGAAATATTCAGGTAATTTAACAAATAGAATAACCAGATATGACTTCCTTTATTTTTGTATGGGCATTTAGGCTGTTCAAAACTTACATAGTGACCTATCAAGAGAGCATTTTTGGAGAACACAGACATGCTTGAACTTTCTAAGAGCATATTATGCCCAAAAATGCTGTCTAGGTAGGCAGCTCACTAGTTTTTGAGGTACAGTTTACGAGGTGTATATTGTCCTTGTTACTGACCTATGCTGAGATTGAATAAGCAGCTTTCCTGCCTTTGCAGGGCAGACAGTCGTGATGAACGCTCAAAGGATGTATGTTCTAAATCCACACTTTTATCCACGGCCAATTCGTGCAGTTTACCCGGTGCGGATGAGCCAGTCAAACGCAGGTTTGCACTGTGCTGAACAATGAGTGGAATGCCTAATGCATTGCGGATGGTGTACGGGGATTTCTCCTTCAGAGCATGGTCAAACGTGGAGGCTGTGCTCTCTGAGAAAGCCTGACAAGAGAGAAATGTTATCTTTATTACGTATAACATGCATTACCTTTCAAAGGTTTGGGGTTGGTTAGATTTTTTTTAAACATTTTGGAAAGAAGTCTCTTATGCTCACTAAAGCTGCATTTATTTGATCAAAAATATAGTAAACATTGTGAAACATTATTAAAAAGTAAAAGAAATGTTTTCTATTTTAATATGTTTTAAAATGTAATTTATTCCTGTGATGGCAAAGCTGGTCATACTTTAGTTTAGGGACCAATTCTCACTATTATCTAATTATTAACTACAACTTTTGCCTCAATAAACTCCTAATTTGCTGCTTATTAATAGTTAGTAAGGTAAAGGTAGTTGTTAAGTTTAGGGATGGGGTAGGATTAAGAGATCTAAAATATGGTCATGCTGAATAAAGCATTAATATGTGCTTTATAAGTACTAATAAACAGGCAATATGCTAATAATGTGCACGCCCATAAGCAACTAGTTAATAGAATTGGACCTTAAAATAAAGTGTTACCGCAAAGCTGAATTTTCAGCATCATTACTACAGTCTTCAGTGTCACATGATCCTTCAGAAATCATTCTAATATGCTGATTTGGTACTCAAGAAACATTTTTTATTATTAATGTTGGAAACAGTCATGCTGCTTAATATTTTTGTGCAAACTGAGATACATTTGTTTTTTTCAGGATTATTGGGTGAATAGTTCAAAAGAAAAACATTTTTTTTAAATAGAAATCTTTTGAAACATTCTAAATTAGTTTACTGGCACTTTTGATCAATTGAATGTGCCCTTGCAAATTAAAATATTATTTAAAAAAAAATCTTCCTACTGACCCCAACTTTTGAACAGTAGTTTACATTTAACACCCTGTGAATATCACACCATTAAAAAGAAAACAACAAATAGCAATACTTATTCAATTTCAAAATTTAGGTTTAAGTAAAAAAAAAAATCCTGCAGTTTGTATGTATGGGAAATGTGAATAATGACACAATGATATTGTATGCTCAGAAAATGCATGGTTTTTGTGTGTCAATGCTGTTCTTTGGACTGAATGGTTTACCTTAGCCAGGTTGTTGAAGACACTGAGGCAGCACTTGGACACTGTGATGTTCATGGTGTCTTTGGAGCATATGGTGATGGCTGTGCGAGGGTCTGGCAACATAATGAAATCATCCCCAGGAACTGGACTTTTATCCCGAACAGGGTTATTCTTCATCTGCACACAGAAACACAAAAAAATAATCACCAACAGAACAACCTGCAAGCTATCTGACAGGGTGGGAATGTGGATTAACATTTGTACGCAAAAGTGAAAAAAGAGAAGCAATTCTGCTTACATCCAATTTAAGGTTCCACCTTCGTTTCCCATTGTCCACTCTCTCAAGAAGTGGCTCCCAAATGGCATGAGTCTCATTGAAGTAATTCACCTCAAGTGTCATATCTGCAGAGACACTGAGCAACGACGACCAGTTCTGAGCAGTACCGGTGAATGACGACTCCGCAAGCAGCAGGGGAACAGTCCGATGCCCCAAACCTGACTCCAGCGTGACCTGCACCACCTTCACGTTCATCTCAAAACTCTCTCCATCCTTACTGCTGTCCACATCCTTGAAGCTCTCAGTGACCTCGGAGGCTGTATCCACACCAAGGAACCAGTAGTTTGCATTAGCGACATTCATCAAAGACCAGAGGCTGTTTAGGTCATCTGACGTCTGCTGTGACGGCTCTTCTTTAGGTCTGGGTGCCATGGCCGCCGTGATGGTAATGACAGTGTTAAGAATGATAGGAGAGATCTGAGAGAGCAAGACAGAGACAAAAAATGTTAGTTCAACACAGATTAGAATATTCCTGGGATATGTAATGAAAACATGAAATGTTTGAACAGTACTGTATATATTTACAGAGAAAATAACTCTGTTCACATGATCTTGAAATACAGTACCAGCGTCTTGGTACACAAAAAAAAAAAAATATAGGGAGAAAATACACTAGAGTTCAAAAGTTTGAAATCAGTAAGATTTTTCAACAGAAATGAATACTTTTCTTTAGCAAGGATGCAATATATAAATCAAAAAGTGACAGTAAAGACTGATTTCTATTTTAAATAAATACTTTGATATTTCTACAGTATTCATTACAGAGTCTTGATGAAAAAAAATGCATCATTGTTGCCACAAAAATATTAAATGGCATGGCACAACTGTTTTTAACACGGACCATAATAAGAAATGTTTCTTGAGCACCAAATCAGCATATTAGAATGATTTCTGAAGGATAATCTGACACTCAAGACGTAATGGCTTATAAAAAAAAAATCAGCTTCACCATCAAAGAAATAAATAAGAAAAGAAATAAATGTTAAAATATATTAAATATATATTTATTGCTAAAATATATCAAATATAATATTTCAGATATTATAATATATAAATATTATATAAAATAGAATATTAAAATAATTTATAAAAAAATATATTTACTGTATTTTTGATAAAATAAATGCAGCCTTGGTGAGCATAAGAGACTTATTTTAAAAACATAAAAAAATCTTACCAACCCAAAACTTTTGAAATGCTAGAATACATGTTCCTTTCACAAAAATATTAATATGGCAAAGAGCTAACACCCACTTTCACTATGACCTCCTCTACAGTTACTGAACCAGTTAATGGGGCATTGGTTGGCATTTTGGTCTCAAGTTCAACAGAGCATGGTCTCAGCACCTGCAGTAAAAACAAATTCATGATTTGCAAAGCATTATAGATATTTGCAATTACATAGACTGCAATATATTTTTCACCATGCCTCTTAAAACTAAGCATAAAACTTTATTCCTGTTGTAACAATAGAGTTAAAACAGAAAGACATTAGTAGAAATCAGTAAGCATACGGTGGTCTCGGCTTTGTCACCCTCCGTCCTGATAAAGGGGCAGGCGAGCACTTTGAGGCTTCTGACGTTGGCCTTCATGGCCTGTCCAGTGTCTTCAGACAGGAGGCTAAAATCACACTGGAATGAGGCTACCAGTGCAGGAGCATCTGCCTTCATCAGGTTAGCCACAAACACAACCTCTGGGTCCACCACAACTGCTTGCAGTCTGGTTCTCGGAGCTGGTGTTGATGATAGATGAAGTATCACATAAAATGTTGGTTTCCAAAATTTCTGAAATGAAGCGTTCCTACACTTTCGGACTGTTCCAGGCATTTCTAATTCATTGTACACAAGCATTTCTAGCTAATAATACTTTACAACTGATCAGAAAAATATAACTATTTCCATGACTATTAAGATTGTTAATTTATGTAGACTTTTCCAGGACTCAAAATGTTTTCTATTTTAATATGTTTTAAAATGTAATTTATTCCTGTGATGGCAAAGCTGGTCATACTTTAGTTTAGGGACCAATTCTCACTATTATCTAATTATTAACTACAACTTTTGCCTCAATAAACTCCTAATTTGCTGCTTATTAATAGTTAGTAAGGTAAAGGTAGTTGTTAAGTTTAGGGATGGGGTAGGATTAAGAGATCTAAAATATGGTCATGCTGAATAAAGCATTAATATGTGCTTTATAAGTACTAATAAACAGGCAATATGCTAATAATGTGCACGCCCATAAGCAACTAGTTAATAGAATTGGACCTTAAAATAAAGTGTTACCGCAAAGCTGAATTTTCAGCATCATTACTACAGTCTTCAGTGTCACATGATCCTTCAGAAATCATTCTAATATGCTGATTTGGTACTCAAGAAACATTTTTTATTATTAATGTTGGAAACAGTCATGCTGCTTAATATTTTTGTGCAAACTGAGATACATTTGTTTTTTTCAGGATTATTGGGTGAATAGTTCAAAAGAAAAACATTTTTTTTAAATAGAAATCTTTTGAAACATTCTAAATTAGTTTACTGGCACTTTTGATCAATTGAATGTGCCCTTGCAAATTAAAATATTATTTAAAAAAAAATCTTCCTACTGACCCCAACTTTTGAACAGTAGTTTACATTTAACACCCTGTGAATATCACACCATTAAAAAGAAAACAACAAATAGCAATACTTATTCAATTTCAAAATTTAGGTTTAAGTAAAAAAAAAAATCCTGCAGTTTGTATGTATGGGAAATGTGAATAATGACACAATGATATTGTATGCTCAGAAAATGCATGGTTTTTGTGTGTCAATGCTGTTCTTTGGACTGAATGGTTTACCTTAGCCAGGTTGTTGAAGACACTGAGGCAGCACTTGGACACTGTGATGTTCATGGTGTCTTTGGAGCATATGGTGATGGCTGTGCGAGGGTCTGGCAACATAATAAAATCATCCCCAGGAACTGGACTTTTATCCCGAACAGGGTTATTCTTCATCTGCACACAGAAACACAAAAAAATAATCACCAACAGAACAACCTGCAAGCTATCTGACAGGGTGGGAATGTGGATTAACATTTGTACGCAAAAGTGAAAAAAGAGAAGCAATTCTGCTTACATCCAATTTAAGGTTCCACCTTCGTTTCCCATTGTCCACTCTCTCAAGAAGTGGCTCCCAAATGGCATGAGTCTCATTGAAGTAATTCACCTCAAGTGTCATATCTGCAGAGACACTGAGCAACGACGACCAGTTCTGAGCAGTACCGGTGAATGACGACTCCGCAAGCAGCAGGGGAACAGTCCGATGCCCCAAACCTGACTCCAGCGTGACCTGCACCACCTTCACGTTCATCTCAAAACTCTCTCCATCCTTACTGCTGTCCACATCCTTGAAGCTCTCAGTGACCTCGGAGGCTGTATCCACACCAAGGAACCAGTAGTTTGCATTAGCGACATTCATCAAAGACCAGAGGCTGTTTAGGTCATCTGACGTCTGCTGTGACGGCTCTTCTTTAGGTCTGGGTGCCATGGCCGCCGTGATGGTAATGACAGTGTTAAGAATGATAGGAGAGATCTGAGAGAGCAAGACAGAGACAAAAAATGTTAGTTCAACACAGATTAGAATATTCCTGGGATATGTAATGAAAACATGAAATGTTTGAACAGTACTGTATATATTTACAGAGAAAATAACTCTGTTCACATGATCTTGAAATACAGTACCAGCGTCTTGGTACACAAAAAAAAAAATATAGGGAGAAAATACACTAGAGTTCAAAAGTTTGAAATCAGTAAGATTTTTCAACAGAAATGAATACTTTTCTTTAGCAAGGATGCAATATATAAATCAAAAAGTGACAGTAAAGACTGATTTCTATTTTAAATAAATACTTTGATATTTCTACAGTATTCATTACAGAGTCTTGATGAAAAAAAATGCATCATTGTTGCCACAAAAATATTAAATGGCATGGCACAACTGTTTTTAACACGGACCATAATAAGAAATGTTTCTTGAGCACCAAATCAGCATATTAGAATGATTTCTGAAGGATAATCTGACACTCAAGACGTAATGGCTTATAAAAAAAAAATCAGCTTCACCATCAAAGAAATAAATAAGAAAAGAAATAAATGTTAAAATATATTAAATATATATTTATTGCTAAAATATATCAAATATAATATTTCAGATATTATAATATATAAATATTATATAAAATAGAATATTAAAATAATTTATAAAAAAATATATTTACTGTATTTTTGATAAAATAAATGCAGCCTTGGTGAGCATAAGAGACTTATTTTAAAAACATAAAAAAATCTTACCAACCCAAAACTTTTGAAATGCTAGAATACATGTTCCTTTCACAAAAATATTAATATGGCAAAGAGCTAACACCCACTTTCACTATGACCTCCTCTACAGTTACTGAACCAGTTAATGGGGCATTGGTTGGCATTTTGGTCTCAAGTTCAACAGAGCATGGTCTCAGCACCTGCAGTAAAAACAAATTCATGATTTGCAAAGCATTATAGATATTTGCAATTACATAGACTGCAATATATTTTTCACCATGCCTCTTAAAACTAAGCATAAAACTTTATTCCTGTTGTAACAATAGAGTTAAAACAGAAAGACATTAGTAGAAATCAGTAAGCATACGGTGGTCTCGGCTTTGTCACCCTCCGTCCTGATAAAGGGGCAGGCGAGCACTTTGAGGCTTCTGACGTTGGCCTTCATGGCCTGTCCAGTGTCTTCAGACAGGAGGCTAAAATCACACTGGAATGAGGCTACCAGTGCAGGAGCATCTGCCTTCATCAGGTTAGCCACAAACACAACCTCTGGGTCCACCACAACTGCTCGCAGCCTGGTTCTCGGAGCTGAAGTTGATGATAGATAAAATATCAAATAAATTTTTTTTTTCCTGAAATGAAGGGTTCCTACACTTTCTGACCAATTGATTTCCATTCATTTTTCATGACTGTTCCAGCCCTTTCTAAAGACAGACATTGTACGCACAAGCATTTTTAGCTAAAAATACTTTACAACTGATCAGAAAATATATATACTGACTTTAACTATTTCCATAACCTATTTTAATTTATGTTGACTATTCCAGGTCTCGAAATCACATTTTTGAAATTCCCTGACATTTCCTGTTTTTCCTAACTGTGAGAAACAACCATTCTTTTAGCAGTAGCATTCATACCTGCTTTAGGTTCACTCTGGATTTTGGGCTCTGAGACATATTTGAGTGGCAGCTGATTGGATTTGTCTCTCTGTGTAGGTGGACTCGTAGGCAGGGCTTGCACAAAAAAGTCGGCCACAGCCAACAGGAACTCCACGCTAGCACACAAATAGAGCTTCTGCAGCACAGCGACCACGGAGCGCTCATCCGCACTCTGAGAGTATGTCACATCAATCATGGGCTCTGATGTCTCCTCATCACGCCTTCCCAGCATTCTGTGTGGAAAAATAATGTGATCAGACCAGAGGGGTGAGGCCTTGAAATAAGACTGTTATGATTAAGAAAAAAATATGTAAAAAAAAATTGCATGACAGATGCATTTATTTGATGAAAAACAGTTATAGTAAAAACTGTAATATTGTGAAATATTATTACAATTAAAAAACTACTTTCCATTCTAATATATTTAAAAATGCACTTTAACCCTGTGATGGAAAAACTGAATTTTCAGCGACAATTACTACAGTCAGTGTCACAATCACATTAAAAATCGTAATCTAAATATGTGTAAATCACCTGGATGTGACTCTTTGAATACCGCTCCGTCTGTCATCCAGTGTGCATGTGGTGAGGATGGTGGAGACCTCCATGTTACCGTTGCTAAACATTTTGCCTGAAGTCTTCATTTTACACAGCATAAATTCACCTAAACACAACAGCTCCTTATGTACAGAGGGCTAAAGAAAGAGGGAGACAGATATAACACTCACTTTCTTTATCAGTGGACTTGAGTCAGTGTCACTGATATTCATGAATCTGTAGGCTCCATACACACCTGTGCAGGATCATTACTGTAGAGAGTAAGGCCAAGGGACTCCACATTAAAGCTGAATTTGACACTCTCCAGCAGCTCTGTCTCCCTCAGTTTACTTTCAGACAGCTTCTCCACAAGAATCTCAGTGCCTACACAAAACACACACAAATCAAGACCATCCACTGAGTTTTTCCTCTAGGAGAAGGATCACTACACAAAACATCTGTGTGTGTCCGTCTTCCCTCACCAGTCGCTGTACGTGCTCTGACAAGCACACTCTCTTGTTTGAGGGCTGCCTCTGAGCCAATCGGTGTGTCAGATTGAACAATGCTCGCCTCTCCGATGTTCTCCATCAGAATCCGCAGAAGGACAGTCAGGTCATCTTGACTCAGAGCCACCTGGAACGGAGTCAGAAAATGTGAGAACCTTCATTAATTTTCCCACAATCACTCCAACTCTATAATTATATATTATATTAATTATAACCAGATCCCAGAAATGGACCAGCCAAAACTAATTTCCACAGACTTCATTTAAAGTCTGCATGAAATGTGACTTTAAAAGCTGAGAATACGTCCTGACATTATGTGAACAGACCTTCATGGGCTTCAGATCTCCATCCACCTCTATGGCAGCCATCTTCTGGTACCATGATGCCGCCAGGTTACGTTTAACAGACAGAACAAGGTTGACTGGCTCCAACAGTTTTGAACTAGGCTGATTTGAGTCCTGCTCCATGGAAATTCTGAGGAAAACAAACAAAAAAGCATTTATAGGAGGAAACACATATAGAGTTGTATAATGGTGAACTAGAATGTGGGCTTTGAAAATTCATGAATGAATTCTGTTCAGTTAATTATCAGATCTTTAAATGGACACATATTGGATGTAATTATACTTTGAAAAGTAAGTCTGAAAATCCTAGATAAGCTTTGTGGCAGTGGGCTACCTGGACAGTTTTAGCTGTGTGAGCTGTATATCCATATTATCTATGACAGCAGGCAGCGGACGACCTTCCACTGCCAGCAGTGAGAAGCTGTTTCCCACAGTAATGAGACCCAGGTCCGCCTCCACAGCATTATGGGATGTGGAGGACTGAGGGATTATGATAAGGGGGGCCTTCAGCCTGATGTCCATGGCAAGTCTGAAACTCTTTTGAGCGAAATCCCTCACACTGGAAGCTGCTTTCTCTGCTGCCTGAGCCGTGGCGGCACTGACAGCCTCTTTAGCTGCCTGGAAGTTATTACTGAAATTCTGTGGAAAGAAAAAGTAAAAGTAAGCTAGTGTGCTTGAATCAGCAGAGAGGCCATGTGTGCAATTTAAACTCACCAGTAATGACATGACAAATTTGTGAAGGTAGACCACTTGAATACAGCCCACGTTGAGTTTCACTTTGCCATCAACCTTCGAAGTATCTGTATACCCAGCCCCCTCAGTGGCTTTGGGTGTCAGACTCATGCTGAAGCTGAACACCTCATCGCCTACAATGGAGATGGCCTAGAGAACCAAAAATAACCCAAAATAAACAACAGATATTGCAGTTCACTTTACTTTAATGCACTTTTGTTGTACTTTGTTCATACAAAACCCAAAGTAGGGCTGGGCGAAAAAACGATAATGATGATTATCGCAATATTATTATTATTATTCCTCGATAAAACGATAAGAGTTTGATAAATGTTCGATTTAATGTTTAAAACTCATACAGTCAGAATAATTAATTTTACCATATAAAAATTAGGTTGTTACAATTTTTACGTTACTGTTTTTGATAATGAACATAAATTTACATCTGCATCCTAACTCAAGCTACTACTGCTGTCAATTCAAGCTACTGTCAAATGTGCATTTCTAAAAAAAAAGTTAATATCATTAATATTGCAGCCGGCACTGCAAGCTGTGCTGAAGATACACGTCATCAAATTCAGGCAATACAAACCTGCTTCACAATAATATGACTCATTAGAACATGCAGAAACTAAGAAATACATTTTTTCTATTAAGATATTTTTTTTGTTAACGAAATATGACTGGAAAAGTGCAAAAAAAAATCAAAAACGTGAAGTGTTTGTCATGTTCTGACAAAAAGACTAGTTTAAAACCACAAATAACAGTCTGCTTTCTACAATTTTCACTTAGGAGCAAAAGTCTACCTTTAAACTTGAAAGAAATAAAGATTTGAAATTCATTGTGATAATTATCGATATCGACTGATATGATAAATTGTATCGTGATCATTTTTTTTTTGGCCATATCGCCCAGCCCTAAGACAAAGTAGATAGAAATTAAAATGTATAAAGAATAGTAAATGGTTAAAATGTGCTGTAGTGGTATAGCTAGCTTGCCTTCTTGTGAATTGTTTTAGGATCCACATTCATGATGATGAAGTCGCGCAAACGTGTGTACATGTGTGTCTGAGTTCCTTGCATCTTTAGAAAACCGTCCAAACCTAAGGAGAAGATTTATAAAATCAGCTAACCAACAAAACCAGCCTCAGAATAATCAAGAAATAGATACTGTATAAGTAGACCAATACACCATAAAATTAAAACGTTGCTTTATTACAACTATGTCAGAATTATTGCTATAATTCTATATGCTATAATAAAAAGAACAATAATTTTCTATTTGCACTATATTTGGCATATAATATTACATTATATAATTGTTTAATCAAAATAAAAAATAAAATAGTAAATATTTAGTAAATATGTTTTATTATATATTTATATTAAATATTTTAATATCTTAAAGAAGATCCTGCATTATTTTTTATTTTAAAACAGTAGCAGTAATGCAGTAACCTTTATATTATAATAAACAAGTCAATTTTCAAAATAAGAACGCATTCTCACCCTGAATTTTGATGTCTGCCATGTTGCTTTTTTGGTCACAAACCAACACATTAAATGCACCAAGCTGCATGTTCACCATCAGGTCAATGACGTCACCATCAGAGGGAGAACTCAGTGCAGCTGAGACAGAAACAGTCCTTCATTAATTCATTCCTAAACAATGGGCACAAAGTCAATGTTTGTCAGTTTCAGCGATTGTATGTGTGTGTTTGTGTGTTTACTGGATTTAGCTGAGGTAGTTCTCATATCTTCACTCTTTTTGCTCTCTCTCTCAGGTGAGGGCAGACTGCTGTTGGACAGGGCAGCAGACAGGAAGTCCATGGTAGAGAGGAGAGCCTCAGTGTGTAACATCAGGTCTAGAGAGGAGAACACCACCTAAAGACACACACAGGCATGTTAAACCCCTTCAATATGAAGTTCTTTTGAGATTAACGCCTCAATTTCCAAAACAGGCTTTTATTTAACCTTGTTTACAGATGCTTACATTGATCTTCTGCTCAGTATTCTGGTAAAGGCTTGCGAAGTTTGGCCCATTTCGATCAGCCTACAAAGACAGGAATCAAACAAATTTAAGATCTCCACTCATGAGTCCCGGAAGCTCTCAACATCTGCTACATCTTAGTGTCTACACTGTAATTCTAGAATTAATCATGGAGAATCTATAATCTATCACCGTTGTGTCAAATATTACATAGACAACAACTATATATTTAATCAGAACTTGATTAGTATGCATTCATTCATATCTCTAGACTTTTAACAGTACACATGTGCAACAGACACTGCTATCTCATTTGAGAGAAATGGCCCTTAGGAATTAAAAGAAGAGCCAATCCACAAACACTAAAGAGTGCAATGGCTAAAGGCTGGATCTAATTGTCCTGATGTTTTGATCACGATATGAATTCATGTGCTAACCTAAATAAATTGTTAAAATGTAAGAGCTGAAGCCTGTCTAGACATGAAATGTCCTGCCACTAGTCAACTTTAGAATGGATTAAAAGGGTGTTACTTAACACTTAATGCAAGAGGTTTTTAACAAATTTTTTTTGAGTAGGAAGTAGGGTTGGGCAGATAGACAATGCCATCGTCCATCGCCGATGGCTGATAGACATCACGATATTGAGCCGGCATTGTGATCCCCCCCCCCATACCCCCTGCATCCCAATACCGTGTTCGGAAAGAAAATGACGTGTAGGCGGAACCCCTAAAGTGAATAAATACGAGATGGGAGGAAAATATGTATTTCAAAAAAAAATTTCGCAGTTATATCATTGGGTAATTATACTACATATATATTTCGGGCATCAGGGAGCCGCTATTATACCTGGCATTGTGCTTTTGAATGCACGATTGCTTTTCAGTTTCACTTTCGAGATTGCACATACTCTGTTTATACTATGGAGCAGCAGTACTTACCACACATTTTACAAGATTATATGTTTGTCAGTGGTACTGAGGATCTGCAAATCATTCGCCATCATCCTCAGTCATCTCTCCTTACTCTGTTTATGTGGTAAGTGAAATTTTATGTACTGTAATGTAACAGGCAACCGTTACACTGTATCTACACCGGACGCGACAGTTGTCGTGTTGCGCCGCGCCGCATCAGCTAAAGTCGGTCTACACTGGACACGACAAAGCGACCTTTGAAAATCATTTGAAATTTGTGTCAGCACGTCATAAATAGAACGCAGCAGCAGTATACTGTCGGGGATTTGTCGCATCGCATCGCGCCGTATCCAGTGTAGACAGCATCACTGATTATAATGAGTTCTATAGACTGATCTATATATAAAGAATCTCTATTATAGATCAGTGGTTCTATAGTTTTTTTGTCGCGCCACGCCGCTCGCGTCTGGTGTAGACACGGTGTAAGGAATCGTTATTTGTTTTCCCTTATAAGGATTCACGCTTCGGGCACACCCCCTAACTCCACCCCCCACCCCCGCCGATGTCATCTTCCATCGCGATGTTTCACTGTAGACATCGTCCGATGCCAATTTTGTAGACATCGCCCAACACTAGTAGGAAGTTTTATAAATAGTGCTCATTTATAAGCCAAATTACATATTAGTGTAATTCAGAAAGTAGTTACCTGAAAATACTTGACTTCAAGAAGATCTGCTCCTGACTCTGCGGAGGAACTGATTATACAGTGCGGTTCTCCATTTGAATCTGCAAAGAAAAATAAATAAATAAAAAGTTCAAATGAATTTTACGAAAAAAAATGCTGCTTTGTACTGTGAGGTTTCAAAAACAAGTGCTACAAACCAAGGAACTCTAGGCACTTCATGGAGATGTTTTTAATGTATGTTGTGGCCTCCATGTCGTATTTTCGAACTTTGGTGTCAATTCCAAGCTGAGCTACATGGAGAACCAAAAAGGGATACTCTTTCCCATTTTTGGACTTTTTCAACCTTAGCATAACCTACAAAGAGAAAGATACAGGATTCTCAGTTCCCTCCAGATCCACTCCAAATCTGGAGTTATGACTGTAACTGAAAATAAGAACTTAAGAAAGCTTAATCACCTCCTTGATTTCAAAATTGAGCAGCACATTGACAACATTTTCACTGAAAGCACCATTGGTCAATGCAGGTTGACTCCCTGTCCCCACAGGTAGTGTTTCGATCAGTCCTTCATCTACAGCTTCATCTGTGGAGGAAAAGAGGGTAAAATGAAGCCCTTAAAGACAAACTTTAATGGACAAGATTACTGACAGGTTAAACCTTTTCATACTTTTAGCAGAAGCTTTCATTCCCTCCACTGCAGCAGCCCTGCTTCCCTCGCCAATGTTCTCTGCTAAGATTCTCATGAGGACCACAACATCCTCCTGGCCAAGAGCCATCTACAGAAGCCAGAGAATAGCAATCTTTAGTTTTCTCTCCTGAAAATTCTGATTGGGCCCCATTTTAGATTTTAGATTCAACACTTCCACGTCTAAAACGTCATGAGAAACTCACGTTCATTGACTTAAGTACTCCATTGACCTCCATTCCAGGAATTTTGTTGTACCAAGTGGTGGCCAAATTACGCTTGACTAAAAGCTCTAGATTTATGGGCTCCAGAATCTCAACATCTAAATGAGCAGCATCGCGCTTCAGAACAGTCCTGAAGAAACAAGGTCAAAAAAATAAATCAGAAAAAAGAGCTGTCTCTGAATCATTCTGTAGCACCAAACAAGTCGAGACATTTTTGTTAATTGAAATAAAGCTGAAATAAAACATAAATACTGCATTAAAAAAACTTAAATTAAAATTATAAATGTTGCCTTGGAAACTAATTAAAATATATAAGTTGAAGTAAATTAATTTTGAGAATTCTGGGAAAGTTCTCCAGCTTTCTTTACTACCTAGACAGTTTGAGTTGTGTGAGTTTTACATCCATGGTCTCCAAAACTGCAGGCAATGGGAAGTCCTCAGCTGCCAGCAGTGAGAAGCTGTTTCCCACAGTAATGAGACCCAGGTCCACCTCCACAGCATTATGGGATGTGGAGGACTGAGGGATTATGATAAGGGGGGCCTTCAGCCTGATGTCCATGGCAAGTCTGAAGCTCTTCTGAGCGAAATCCCTCACACTGGAAGCTGCTTTCTCTGCGGCCTGAGCCGTGGCGGCACTGAGAGCCTCTTTAGCTGTCTGGAAGTTATCCACAAACATCTATGGAAGACAATCAATAGTTAGTTACAGTTTTGTGTGACTTGACATGGCAGTTTAGTAGAAGTGAGGGAAGGTCTGAATCTAACAGCCTGGAATCCACAGTAGGGAAATTTCATGCAGGGATGTTCTTGTGTTTTAAAACGCCTGAAAGCCGAATTTACAATGAAAAGTTGCAAATTCAGTAGGGGTGAAAAAAGCAGCCCTGGAGTGAAACAGTATTTTTTTTGTGAGAGAAAGTAGGAAAGCTGATGATTATATTGTCTGGGTATGGCTGGTGAGCTGTTTCTATTAAAGGGGTCATATGATGTTGCTAAAAAAAAACAGTATTTTGTGTAATGAAATGTGTTACGTAGGTATGTGGGGGTGTGTTAGAACGAGCCGTTTTAGGTAGGTGTGGCTGACTCTTAACTTTTATAAAGAATATCTCTTTGGATTTGAGACTTTAGTCTTTGCAACTTTACAGATCTTCTTTATGCACCAAGAGCTTGTAACACTCCACAGAGAAAGGAAAAATTGAAATCGCATCATATGACCCCTTTAAGCATGTAGAGTATGGAAGTTAGAACCAGTAAAATCAAGGCATCCATATAGTGCGAAATTCCGTCTCAAATTTCTGTGATTTCTACTTCAATATGTAGTAAGAGTCACGAGCGCACATGCAAATCCACATATTCGCAATCAAGTCATTTAAAAATTCTGTGCCTTATTGCATTCATAAATAACGCTATAGGCTAAACTGCATTACCTAAAGTCCACTTCTTTAACAATATCTAACAGTTAGAACAGTAATATCTCACAGATAAAACTAAGAAATGAATACTAATATCCTCAAGACATCCTTTTAAGAGAAAACAGCATTAAAGCTGCAGTATGAAATTTCTGCAAACCGGACTATAATCAGTTTAGCAACACTGACTCAAGATTTCGGACCTATTTATGAAAAATAAAAGATGGCATAATCCATTGTTTGAAAAACACTTGGACAAGATCTACCTTTTAGGTGATACATAATTCTGTTTGATGCCACTATAGCGGTGCAGAAATTCTAAAATGCAATGCTATAGTAGATAAATATCAGGTATGGGTGTGATCTTATGAAAGTCTTTCTTTTGGTTCTTCGAACTACCTGATTTGATAGGAAAAGCATAATTAAAAAGTCATACCCATTTTAAAAGAGGTTATTATATGTCAGTGGTGCATATAAATGTAATGTAAGCAATATTGAAATATTACTGACAATATTAGTGATCGCAAACTTTAAGACTGCTTCTGTTTAGCTTGAATCTAATGAATTGTTCTTGAATATGCAGCAGAGCTATATATTTCCTATAACCTTCCACTAGAACAGTGGTTCTCAACCCCCCAAGCCACCCCCCACCCTGTTGTTCAACACAATATCTTATGGCCTCCCCATAAGGCAGAGATATTTTTTGTATGTATATGTATACTGTCTTTTTAAAAGTCATTTTTCTTTCTTAGTTAGAATTAAGGCCTTTTTTGTTTTTATACATGAATACGAAAATTTAATACTTTTTCTTTTATTAATTGCATTTTTACAATTATTTTTTAAATTAATTTCTTTTTGAATATGAGAATAAATATGGGAAGTTTGTTGAGGCCCCTAGTGGGCCCAGGATCCCTCGTTAAGAACCACTGCACTAGAAATAAAACAAAAGCAGTCATAAACATTGCTGTGAATGGTGTTAACCTGAATTAATGTTTCCATCTTATTTGAAAAGGATTAACTGTGTGTACAACAAATCCAGTAGAGTTTAATGGGGAGAGGACATATTTCAGTGTGTGCAGAGGTGCATTTGAAAATAAGCTGCAAAGCAAAAAACTTTAATGCTGCATGCCCAAGCCTGTACCTCATCAGCAGTGGGGTATTGATAGCTAAAAGAGTCCTGAAAAGAGGAAGACACAATTAACGAAAACTATGAGGGGAGGGAAAGATGCCAGAGCAAAAAGAAAGGGAGAGACATAAACATCCATACAAAATACAAACGAAAATACAGACACTGAGAAATACAGTTTTTTAAAACGCTGTCCCTGTTTGTTTTGCAATTACCAGTCATTGAGTTTTATCTACTGGTATACATTTTAGATGACTGATTAACACAGACAAAATATGAGTACCGATACAATATGAAAGGTAAGTGGATTTACATGAATTCGTACCAATAAAGACGTAAGGAACTTATGCAGGTAGACGATCTGGATACAGCCAAGTCTCAGGATAACTTTCCCATCCACTTTGGAGGTGTCAGTGTATCCTTCACCTTCAGTGGCCCCAGGATACAATGTCATCTTAAAGCTGAACACCTCTTCTCCAACGATTGACACCGCCTGGTAGTATTCACAAAAACAGAACTGGAGCACAGAAACATGCTTACAAACATACCAAAAACAATATGACTGATCTCTCACCTTCTTATGGATAGTCTTAGGGTCCACATCAAGAACCACAATGTCACGCAGACGGGCAAAAACGTCTGTTTCTTTGGCCTGGACCACCACAGACGCGTCAATGCCTGACATAAATGAAATCAACATGTTTGGTTAACTTGCAGAAAATTAATATATCATTTTAAGATACGCTGACTTTTAAGGACAGACACTTTAGTTTTTTCTACCTTGAACCCGGATGTCAGCAATGTTGCTTCTGTCATCACAAACAGCCACTCTGAAAGAGCAGAGTACGGCAGACAGCTTAAAGTTCACAACACCAGAGTCCTTCGAACCCTTAGACACTAACAAAACATAGACACTCCAGTTAAAACACTCAAACAACACATAATGTGACAATCTAAAAACAGTAGTGTCTGCAACATGCATTAACACAAGCAAAACAGATATTGTTTCAGACCCCTGTTAGTACATGGCATGTCAAGACCAGTGCAAAGGTCAAGAAAAAAACATTAGTTACCCAAGAAAAAACCTACAAAGCAGAGACAAGGACAACATGGATGCATGAGCAATATTCAGGGTCTACCCAATAATTTGACATCAAACAAAAACAATTTGTTTTCACAGATTTTCAACATAAAAGGCGTATGTGTTATTCACACCCGTCTTCCCTGCTGCTGCTCTCTCAGCCCGTCTCTTGGTTTCTCTGTCTTTTGAAGCTGTGAGGTCTTGTGGTATTGCTGAATTCATGTAGTTGATGGAAGACAGCAAAGCTTTAGTGTGCAGCAGGAAGTCCAGTGAGGAAAACTCCACCTGTGAAAAGAAGTAAATCAATTACTTAATTTTGATTTCTGATAAAACTTTCCAATAAAAAACGTTTTTTTCAAATGAAACATTATTCAAAATTCAAATTAAAAAGACTAATAATGTAATTTTAAGAATACAATAAAATTAGATTTTGTGCATGTGTGTATACAGTATATATATATATATATACACACACATACTAAAATATGTTTATAAAAATATGTTTGTAATCAAAATATTTTTTTTTGACATTTTTTAATTTAAAAATAGTAGAATAATTGAATTAATAAATATATTGAATGAGCAAGTAAACAAATAAATTCTAGGATTACTGCTATTCATTATTAGGAACTATAAACTTAAACATACCTTCAGTGCTTGTTCTGTATTATTAAATATGGTGTGGAAGCTGGGTCCATTAACATCAGCCTGAAGGACATAAAAAAGGCCATGCAGACCAGCACAAATTAAACCATTCAGCTAAAACAACTCATTTAAGAGAGTCCTTTATAGAGTGTTTGATAAGCAAAATGCTCATGTTTACTTTGATGTACTCCACTTTCAATAGATCAGAGCCATGCTTGTCTGAAGAGGTAATTAGATGAAGTGGCTGATTTTGCGCATCTGAAACACATACACACAAGAATGAGAGCAACGGTATCCCTGAAAAAACATGAAGTACTTCAAACAACAAAACCTTGATCACACTTTGTGTGCGTGCGTGTACCTTTTATCTCGCAGTAGTCCAGGCTGATCTTGCGCAGGTAAGATGTGACGGTGAGATCAAAGGTCCGTATCTTGCCCTCTGCACCCAGTTGAGACACATTGAAAGCCAATACGACATCCTCCTGAGCGGCCTGCCTCGTAAGCTCCAACAACACCTACACACACACACACACATATATAGACACATATACATCACTTCACACTAAAACACACAATGGTCCACACAAACACGAACAGGAATCATACACAAAATAATTGTCATCAACTGATGGAATGCTGAATGATTCTTTAATGAAATGTGGGGCTCTTGCGCCCAACTGATGACGAATGGTTGTGGCATGGTGTGAACAAAGTGATGAAGAAGAACGTACTGCTTTGACTTCAAACTGAAACTGCACTTCGGTCAGTTCCTCTAAGGTTGATCTGAGAGAGTCTTCATCTGCAGACTTCTCACTGGTGTCTTCTTCAGAGTCTAAACACACATGTACAACATAAACTGTGTGCATACATAAACTGTGAGAAAATGTGTATAATTATATGAATAGTGTCAATTAAAAACAAAAGACTTGTGTGGTATTCTTTTTTTTGTTTGTCTGAAATTAAGTGGGAGCAATTCTGACCTGATTCCACTGTATAGGACAGAACTGTGGGGTCTAAACCCAAAACCTTTGGCCTGGCATCAGACAGCGGCATCCCCAAAACCTTCAGAAAAATATCATCATTATTATACAAACAACAGGAAATTATATGGTATGTCATTTTCTCACTCTGTTTACTTCCTGTACATATGCAGAAAGCTTTCTTTCATATGCAATAAATGCTTTTTTTGCATTTGAGTCAATTGGTAAAATTTTTGTAAGAAAGCATTTTAGGGAGAAATTTACTTTTAACTATTTTATTTCTCATAGTTTTCCAACAAATTTACATTACTGTTCAAAAGATTGGGGTTAGATTTTTTTAATGTTTTTGAAAGACGTCGATTACGCTTTGAATACAGTATAAACAGTAAAAATGTTAAAATATTATTACAATTTAAATACAATTTTATTTTAATACATGTACGGTAATTTATTCCTGTAAAGGTAAAGCTGAATTTTCAGCAGCCATTATTCCAGTCTTCAATCAATCTAATAATCATGATACTCTAATAATCATTCTGATGCAGTGTCAAGAAAAATTTCTTATTATCATCAATGATCATATTTCTGTGGGAGCTGTGATATATATACATTTTTGAGGATTCTTTGATGAATAGAAAGTTCAAAAGAACAGCATTTATTTCAAATAGATATTTTTTGTAACATTATACATGTCTTTACAGTCATTTTTATTAATGTATTGCAGCCTTGCTGAATAAATGTTTTCAGTAAGTACTCAAAAGTAATTTCTTAAAACAAAATCTTACTGATCACAAACTTTTGAATGGTAGATATTTATTTAAATGTTCTGGATAATATCTAGAACATCCTTTAACATTTGCTTCGCAAAGTAAACTAGTAAGGGCTTTTTCTTGCTTGTTGAGGCAGTAAGTTCACTAATAAGATACAGTACAGGGCTCATTGGGTAGAGAGACAGTGATGCTGATTGTGGATAATGTCTTTCCTGAGTTGTGTAATCTGTGGAGACTGAAGCTGCACTGTCACGCTCAAAGAGCAAGTTCAGGAACGAAATATAAAAGCAAGCAGCACTTCAGACTTATTAAAGCAATAAGTACATTGCGATTAGATTTACGGGCTTGAAATATTCATGGCTTTAAAAAAAAACAAAAAAAAAACAACAGCAATGACAATAGTATCAAATACCTGTGGCGTCCTACCAGGAAACTACCATTCATGAGTCATGACTTATTAAGTGAGAGAGGAAGCAACACATCAGCCAATACAGAGAGATTGTGTTTCTTTGTGTTTTCTGACCTTTTCTGTGGGGGTGCTAGGGGGGCTTGAGGTAGTCTGAGGGAGAGGAATACTGTCCACCAGCTCCAGAACACCCTGGATCTTCTGATCAGAAATCTTCACATGAAGTAAGGGCAGCTCCCCTGATACTTTGAACCTGGAAATGAACAGACCTTAGTGCATGTATGAGGATTAAGAGAGAGACGCGGCAGAGAGCGAGCGCTAACCTGGGCATACGGGAATCTTTTTCCACCATACATTTAGCAAGTTGAAGTGTGACGTCCATCGGTTGCAGGATGTGCTGATGGGTGAAGCCTTTAACACGAGCATTTTTCCATTTCTCTCCTTCAAAAAGAGCCGCCGTTAGAATTTGTTTGTGCAGACAGTTTAGTTTCTTCCCTGTGTTGCATTGTGTTTACCTGATTTGCTGTAGAGTATCTGGACACTGCGGAGCTCCAAGGAATATCTTTCATAGGCTCTATCCATGATTTCCTCTAGCGATGAGAAACTGGCAGATACCTGCTGATGGCTGCCCTGGTCTACACTGTTCAACTACATGCACACACATATATTTACAGTCAGACGTTATTGACAGAAACAGTTCCCTCTTAAATATGTTTTTCCTTCCCTCCCTCACCTGCAGGTAACCAAAATCAACGATCATGAGGTCTGATTTGCTATCATAGAATCCAGACTTGGGAAGCAGCAGGTAGGAGGGTTTTAGATCGATCCTCAAGTCCAGCACCTTACGTGTCTCAATAATGTGAGACAACCCTGGGTTCAGATAAAGACAAAGGGGAAGTGTTAAAGATGACCACTCACATACTCATTCTCAATGTGACAACATTTCTGTGGGGATGATGGGAAATGAGGAGAGGGTTACCACTGGCTGTCTTCTCTTTGATCTCCTCAAGTTTGCTGAGTGTTGCTGAGGTGATGACCTCCAGATCAACTCTTTTTCCCATCTTAAAGAATTCTGTGATGCTGATGACAGTCAGCTACAGAACAGACAAACGAACAGTAAATATTTTGAAGTAATTTTTAGTCTAAAGCCCTATTCGGACGGTAATTGTTTCTCGCAAGTGATTTTCACCATTTACAGGGGGTAGTTGGTGATTTTTATGCCGTCCGAATCCAGGATGTCGGTGTTTTTATGTCGGTGTACCACTCCCGTAAAAATCCCCGGCCGAATTACCTACTGTTTTTTGACAAACACCAAGGTCGTGTGGTAATTTAATTGCCGTTCGAATCCACATCTCTGAGTTTACGAGAAGAAATCGATTCAAAATTCAGTGTTTAAACCCTTTTTGAGCATTCCTGAACACCGTAAGGTAACATTGTATAGAGTAATTTGCATACATATTTATTTCTGAAATGCTGGAAAGTATTTAAAAGAACAATATTTCATAACTGCTCCACCACAGCGACTGGGAGCAGAAAGAGAAGAAAAGCACATAAACATTCGAAATGGGTCTTTATTATGGCAGCAGCAGGTATGCAATACAATTTTAAAATGTGTAT